TCAAGAAGTCCTCACAGGGGATTCGCCGACAATGCCAAAAAGCAAGGCGTCACAGCCAACAGCACAAGTTCAACGCCCCGACAAAGTCCTCCAAAGTGATATCTTGCGGCTTAGCCTCTCTATATGGCTGTGTCTCTTTTTAGAGGAACCCCAAAATTGTGGTTTTCCTTTTGGTGTCTCTTTCACACCAACCAAAGGGGGCACCCTCACAAAAAGACACACCCATATGGTGGTATCAAGAGGTTTCCCACTCAAATCACTCCAACCGCAAGTCCACTTGGCCATGGGTCAAAAGCCCGTACCCCCAGTGAACATCCCAATCCCCACTAAAATAGAAAAATGGGTGGTGCACCTACCCCAAACTGGTACCTTTGGTTTTGACCCACAGCCACTTCAGCCCCACAGGGATCCTCCTCGGTGGCATGCTGCTCCCGAGGCAGGAGGCAAGAAGGCGGGGCCGCGTCCAAGAGCTTGGACTCCTAACGAGTGCAACATCTCTGCTGGTTTGGGGTTTTTGTGTCGGTTGCCTTTTTTTGGAGGGGTACAGGGCAACACCACCTACTAATAAGCTAGGGTTGATTAATATGGGGTCAACATTCCCCTCAACAGGAAAGTCCCACGAGTTTTTGACGCACACCTTTTTCTTTTTGCAGCCCCGATTGGAGATGTGATCGTCCCATCTCCTAAACCTTGTCCAAATCATATCCCCAACGAAATTAGGCTTCTGGAAAGAAGGTTTCTCGCATGGGGGGGCGGGGCAACTAGGAACCCGCAAAATGGTAGTTTCTCCAACACCACATCTCGACTGTCGCTGAATGGGAGCACCTGCTAAACAGGTGGTCTCCCCCTTCGTTTCCCTTCGAATCAAGCCCGTGTAATTATGAACCGCGGGAATGGTTTACCAAAAAACCGTGCAAGAAATTAACGATGATTGCGGCTCCATGGGAAATAAACCCTGTGGTAAACGTTGTAGCCATGCAAGCGTCTCCATGAGCGTATCACTCGTGGCGTCCGAACTTTGCAATGCAACACGAGGAAGCTAGTTTGTTTACCCTTCTGCGCCGGGGTTGACGAATCGTCTGACGAGGCAAACTTTAAGGAAATCGCAGCTGTGAGTCGAGCAGGAATCTGAGGCAGAGTGAATAGGCCAAATGCGATATTTGCAGCCGAAAGCATGCTGATCGAGTAAATGGGGGGGAACACGGGAAAAAAAGGAAACAACAACACAAAAACAAAAAAATACAAACAACTCCTCGCCGCAACCAAAGCGCAAGTCTCACCCTCCCTGTGCGCGCCTGCCACGCCACCCGCTGCGCTGCCTCCGCAGGGTCCTGAGGCAAGCTGAAGGGAGCCAGAGCGGTCGACTCCAGCGCGCGCCGAGGGGCGCTTCGGGGGGCACGCGTTGTTTGAAGCAGCATGATCCTTGGCCCGTACATTCAAAGGGGCAAAATACTGGGTAAGTACCTGGTAACCTTCATTGTAGCCCACTTAGGCGACATACAACCATAGTTCAATGGCCCCTCCAGGGACGGGGGCGGTTTTATATACCACTCATATGAGGGGTATACACTGCCTTACAACCTTGCATTGTGGTACATAAGCCTCAACATCTCCAACACCAGTTCCGAACCACTATCTAACTCGTCTGCCCCTTTAACCACCACGTGCCAAAACACCGAGCATCTTCTGGCTCCAGATCAAATGCTTCTCATACGCAAAGGCGCGCCACAAACAGCGCGACAAGCGCAAGCCAAGATCATGCGCTCTTTTCTGCTATCAACGGTGCCAAAAAGAGGTCCTAGCGAAAGCACTGGCAAGAGGTGCACAAACTACGAACGTCAGAGTGGATAAAGAGGCAGGAACGTCGTGAGCAACAGGCGAAGATTGATATAAATTGAATTATGGATTGAAGTCTGCTGGGTTAAAAACAAGTGGGTAGAACAGCAGTGGATTGAACAAGAGTGGATTGGACGACAGAGGATTGAACAGCAGCTCATTGCGTAAGTACACATTGTCTTGTGGATTCTGGAGTTTTGGGCCAGAAGGTCGATAATACTTTGTATAACATGTTCTCCAAATTGCGGTACGGTTCGGGTGTGATGCAAGACCGATTTAGGAAGGTCTTTGGTTGGACATACCTTGCTGTTAGGCTGGTTGAAAAATCGGGTCTCAACAAGGTGTCGACCCGTATGTGTCCTCCTCGTCAGAGCTTTCTGCTGCTACCTCCTGGCTCCAAGTCAAAGGCATCCTTGCACTGGGTCCATCAAAGTGTATCCTCAAATTCACCCGTGAATTAGTGGTGGGAAGGGAAGCTACCCTCAAAATGTTCACCTCAAAAGGCCCAGCTTTACTGTAACCCTTTCTGTGCGTGCAAAACTAGCCCACTTCGCTCCAGTCTGCTTCGCACGGCCAACTCCACAAGAAGCACAGCTCTCCTGCGCTTCTGCGAGTGGGCACGCCTGCGCAAGAGTCGACGGAAACAAGCTGAAGATCCGACGCTGCTCATGGCAAAGGCCCCAAATCCCCCAGGAAAGGTTCAATCACTCCAACCTTTCCTGGAAGTCCCACCAACCATATAGCAAGGTATTTTGGACCATGGCTGGTTTGAGGAAGATTCAATAGGGGCCCTTTGCTGGGCATGGTGATGTCCACCACCCTGGCCATTGGTGTGTTTCCAAAAAAAATGGTGGGGCCCCCGTTTGGCTGGTATTTGACAGCAAACCGAAAGGAAGCGATCACTTTAGGGTATCGATTCCTTCTCCCGACCCCCCAAACCTTGTAAAGGTCAAACTAAAAGCACCCCGCACCCCGCCCCCCTACCCCCCCACCAAACTTTTGGGCTCCAATTCCCCTCTTGCCCCACCCATTTCGGGTAGGCCACCCCCACCCGAAATGGGAATGAGCGGTTCGCCCAAGCGACCTCCTGGCGCTGGAGGCGCCGGCAGCAGGAGTAGCCCCAGGCCTTCCTGGCGAAGGCCAAAGTTGAAGGGAGCTGACCCTCCCTGCGCGGCAACCTCCCGAAAGACCAGCCAAATGGCCACGGGTCAAAATCCAAATCGGTTAGCCCCCAGTGAACATCCAATTCAATCCAACCACTAAAATAGACCAAAATGTGTGGTGCAGCTACCCCAAAATGGTGCCATTGCACGAATAGAAACTATCAGAGCCTGCACAGGCGATGGAAGACCATGTTCCTTTCAGAAAGACTGTGCAGGTTCCATGCTTGTTTTGGGGTAACTATTTTGGTTCCGCAAGCGTCGCGGCTGAGTACGCTTTCTCTGGCGCTCTCAGTCCTCGCTTCGTGCCGCTCAAATGTGCCTGTGTCTTTTCTTGATCGGTACCCTTTGTGAGCCACAAGGTGCTGAATTGACCCGGAGTCCCTGTATTCTGAGAAACCTAAATGCGGTCCCAGAAGAAATGGAGGTCGACTCTGCAAGATGCAGCTCCCGAACTCACCGGGATGCTTCCACCCTCGGCGCGGCCCGAGGAAACCGCCTCTCGGGGTCGTAGTAGGAGCCCCAAACCGCGGCGTGCCCCGAGGTGCAGGCGTTCTGCGCGGGGGTTTTGGAGCGTACCGGGGGAACCAAGAGGAGAAACGAAATATTTCTGGGCCCCTTTTCAGATCCCCGAAAAGTGACGAACTTTTAGTGGGCGAAATGGAAACCACGAAACACGAGGCCAAAAAGCCAAGGAACCGGATGGCTGGGAGGCAGGTGAACGTCGAAGTGCAGAAATCTCTCAAAAGCGCCTGAACCATGGGGGAGATAGTGCCACCTACTTTCCCGAAGGCAGTGCTTTAAGGGGAACCGGATTTCATGTCTTTCGGGCCCATAGAGAACGCGGGCGACGAGGTTCTCCAAAGATCCGATCACCAGAGAGAAACGGACGGCTCAAAGGAGTGCTCTTCAAATCTGCAAAGCAAATTTGGCCGCCCTTGGAAGAGACCCTTGTGGTTCGGCAATCTGTTCACAGTTCAGAGCAACCCTGCAACACGCACCCGGACAAAACCGAAAAGTGCAGACGCACTTAAGCTGGTGCATGCCAACACCCGCAAGCAAAAGCTCGTCGTATTTTGGCTGAAAGGAAGAAGGCAGGCAAGACTCAAAGAGCGTGTGACGGGTTTTTCCAGTTCACATAGATCCGGTGCCTCGCACGAGTCCCGGAACTTCGGAGACTTCGGTACCACGCCTCCTGGTACAAAGTGGAGGGCACCAAGTTTCGCACCTCATCGTCCATGCCAGAGCCATGGCACGGCGCAAGCGCGCCGGTGTATTTTTAGTGGCGTCCGTAGATGTGGTGGGTGAGTGCGGTGGGTGGCTTGTGGTGGGTGTACCCGGCTATTCGGAGGTGTTCTGAAACAGAGCACTTTGCAAGGTCATGAAAAAGCCCAAAGAAATCTGGCCCACGTTTGGGCTCTCGTACTCAAGGAATCGCCTGGGCTCGCAACTTGCACTTTGGGTTGCATGGTAGGGTGATGGCTTGGTGTCTGCAGAGGTGCAGGTGGTGTTTACCAGTTTGGGTCATTTGCCACCTGGAGTTCTGGTAGGTGCGTGTCATGCTGGAAGCCGAACCCAGGCACTCCATGGCCATGGTCAAAGGTTTCACTTGGGGTTGGTTAAGATCAAACCGGGGATTTTAGACAACTTGGCAAGGATTCTTTTAAGCGCCACAACCATGGCCCACAGTTTCGGAGCTTTGAGCATGGCACATATTGATCTCTTCCCTTTACACAGCACATTGATTGGCCATTCCAAACGGAAATCGTGCAAGTCGCTTCACTTCATGATTCTGGCGTTGGCATTCAAGAGTAATCCAACACACTGTGCAAGTGGCCCCCAAAAAAAACACTCAAGTCATGCTAACCGTGGAAACATGTTCCGACCTGGCTGTTGTGGACAGAGATACAAGGTACATGCATCTCCTCTTATCCCACCAACCAACGAGTGTCTCCGAGCGCCACTGCGAAGCTGGTCCTTTTTGCTGGAGCGCCGGTTCAGACAACCAGAGCCGACTTGGGAGGAGACCAAAGGCGCCAAATCCCAGCCCCAGAAAGACGCTTCTCATCAAAGGAGTGGTTCTTTTCGAAGGCTCCGATTTGATCTCTCCTCATAAGCTCCTAAGGTCCTATGTACACCAAGCGATCGACCTCTCAGAACCTGAGCGCGTGTGGAAGCCGTCTGCCCAAAGGAATCAGCTGCTCGATCCGTGTGGACAAAAGGGAGCTGCCCACAGAAGGACGAACTCATACCTAGATAGCCAAGTTGCTGTTTTTTCAGTCACTGTTGCTGTTTTTGGGGAGTAAAGTGCATCGAAAAAAACAGCGACTGGCGGTCCAGGTACTAGATAAATCCTTGGCTCCCCCTCGAATTGACGCGGAGACAAGAAATCACATCCAAATAGTTTGCCACACTCGCCCATGGCCAGGCCACTCAATCATCAGGACCGCGAAATGCAAGTTTTTGACAAAGGATTCAAGTTGACTTTGTGACGACTCAGTGCCCTTCAACCCCAGTTCTCAAGAAACGGTTTTCTTGGCGCGCCAACCCGTGGACTTGCGTTCCTTGTTGCGATGTTCTGACACACCATACTACCCTCCCACCTAACATGAAAGTGCACAAAGCCAGTCCTTCTGCAGGGGTCCGAAGGCACTTCCACGGTAGTTGATGAGAGGTGCTCAAAATGACCGTCCGTGTCGTCGTTTCCCAGACCTTTCAGCGGTGCCGGTGCCCATTTACCGCAAGCCCGCGTTTGGAAAAGCGATTCTGCGGTGAAGAGCTCAGCACTACAGGCTTTTCGGCAACTCTGCCCTGCAAATGATCCAATCGATTTGACCATTGCCATCGACGTTGCCAGAATCAACCACTCATCTTCAGTTGGTTCTTCCTAAATATCCTTCAAACCCCGTTCCACCCCACTACAACTGGATACGCCCCCAATGCTGGATACTCCCAGCACTCGCGCCAGACAAATAAAGGAACCAACAAACTGATTCCATTTTTTTTGAAAGAAAAACAAAAAACTTTAGTGGGATTCCATATCTATATATATATATGTATGGGTCAAAACTAAGCCACCAGGGGACTGCAGGTTTTAGACTTTGGTTCCATGGACTAAGGCCAACCCATTTTGGGGTTACCCTATTTTTGACCACCACAGCCATATAACACCCGGGCCCGCCCAATTTGATTTGTCTCCCAAGGGGCGCGGGCTTCCGGCGCTCCCAGGCTACAGCCTGGAACTTGCCACTCCACAGCCTGGAACTGGATGCACGGAGTGGGGAGACGTGTCCGGCTGGTATGCTTTTTTGTTTTGGGAGGGGGGAGTTCCTGGGGAGATGGAGCGTTTTTTTGTTCTTTTGTTTGTTTGTGTTTTTTCTCTGTTTTTTTCTCTGGGAAGATGGAGGTGTTGTCTTTTCCCCCCTGGGCGGTGGTGGCGGTGGTGGTGGGTGGTGGTGGGTGGTGGTGGGTGGTGGTGGTGGTGGGCGGTGGTGGTGTCTGTTTGGTTGTTTGCTTTTTGTTCTTTTTGTTTTTGCTGTTTCTCTTTTCTTTTCTGGCGAGGCCGGAGTTTTTGGGATCCGCCCCGGACCACCCCGGAGCCTATCTGGGCTGAGACCACAAAGCTTTCAGCTGTTAGGGGGAGAAAAAAAAAATGTTCGAGGGCTCGCTTTTGGGGGGTTCCGACAATTTTGAGAGAACTCCATTTGGGAGCTTCTCAAAACGGGTTTGTTCTGTTTGCGGGTACCCTTTTCAGGTTGGTTCAAAGGGAAACCAAAAGGATTGGCGCCAGTTTTGGGCACATCCCTATTTTGAGACGCACCCAAATGGGATGTGCTTGGCAAAACAGGGGCCTTTTGGTGGACATCATTTGGGTGGGGTTTTATGTCCACCAGCCATTTTTCAGGGTGGTCCCCATTGACTTCATCACCATTGGGGTTTGTCTTTGTTTGATGGAACCTGGAACCGCGGCGTTGCAGTTGGTTTCCCCAAACAACCTTGAACAAGTATCAGCCAAAAAGGACAGCCGCGTTGTAAGTTTCTGTTCAATCTCCTTTCAACTTATTTCAGCTTCGTTTGCCTGTCTCGCAGAGACAAGGTTTGTTCTATCCTTCTTGACGAGTATTTCAAGATCTGGGTGTTGGGTGTCTGACAAGCTGCTGGCTCTCGACTTGGTCTTGAGTGCGAAAAATCACCACAATCACCGCAATGGCTCAGCCATTGCAACTCGAAACAGGGCGCTGTTTCCGCCGTGCTGAAACGGACCCCCTTTTCGCCACGAAAGCGCCGTTCGTTTTTGGTTGCCACAGCCGCAGCCACTCGGCGGGCAGCTCGACGCGATTTCGGCCGTGCGGCTTCACTTGGTACTCGTCCCCAGGCTCGCCGGCGTCCCTGGAAGCAGGCGCTCGCCAGCGAGGGGTGAGTCCCATTCTTTTCATCCAGCACTCGCTGCGAGAACCAGTCTTCAGCCGTCTTCCCTCGTGTTCTGGTGGTTTTCCAGAAAGGAATGGAAATAATTGGACCACCACCCAGAGAATGTGTCCCGCAACTGACCCGGCCCCGAGTTCCAAGGCGCCTCGCCCGCGCCAACTCCGCAGGCTGCGGCAGCTGGGTAGACGTCAATGCCGATTCGCGTCCAGCCAGGGCACGGCCGTCGATCAGCCAATTGAGGTGGTACCTCGACAACCGACTCCGGCAGTAAATTTGGCCATGGGTCAAAAACCCGTACCCCCACTGAACATCCTAATCCCCACTACAATAGACTAAAATGGGTGGTGCACCTACCCCAAAATGGTACCATTGGTTTTGACCCACAGCCATTTGAGAACCCTTCAGCCGGATGGTCCATAACCAACTCAAAAGAATTTGCCGCAACATGTTCAACCCACGGCCCGCGCCACACCACCATGCCGCTGCTGTCAAGGCGCAGATGGCTTGCTGACCCAATCAAACATTTGGGTGCTTGTCAATAGTGGTTCCTGAAATGGTCGGTTTCCTTTGGGCTTCCCTGTAACTACCACCAAAAGGAGGCTTTTCCAACATCCATCTTCAGAAACTCCCCTCTCGGGTGAGGTTTGATCTGAAGCAAACCGCCAGCGACAAGAAATTTCACCGAGCTGCTGCTGGATGAGGTCCAGTGGGTCCGGCCCCAACCTGGGATTTGAAATTGGAAGCAGCGAGCATAGGCCCTGCCAGGGCAGGGAGCTAGGTACGTGTTAGTAAAACATCGTCGAAATGCCCCTCTAAATGGCCCCCCACAACCTCATTTGGGGGCAAAGCCACGTTGTTGCAAACCCAGTTTGGGGCTTCACATATGGGGGTCCCCCATTTTAGGAACACCCAAAGGGGATGCATTCCATTTTGCCTTCAAGTGACATCCTCAAAACTACCCAGCTGGATTTCCCCTTCAAACCAACAAAAACACTGTCAGCACTCACCCTGTCCACTTTTAGGGCTTTCATTTTTTCCTGTGAGCAGGGGGGTGCATGCCAAGTATGTCATGTTCATAATTTCAAGGGGTACTTCTACGAGTGCCAGTGGAACATAGGCCACCAGAATCCGACAGCGCCAAAGCGCGCGCGGCTGCCGGACGCCGCATTGGGCCGATCCGGATGCAGCACCTGGCAAAGCGGCTCCGCCAAGGGAACTGCTAGGAAAACCTGAGATAACCTGTGTATATATATATATATATACATATATATATATATATACACACATATATATATATATATATCTACATATATATATATATGTAAGTATATATATATACATATTATTATAATTATATATATAGAGAGAGAGAGAGAGAGAGAGAGATGGTCCAAGATTAAGCCGAATGAACCCCAGATCAACCCCCAGTGGTGCAGCTTTCCCTTCTTGCCCCGTTTGAGGCACAGTACCATGGGGAGTCTCATTTTTCATTTTGAGACATCCTTTTTCGACCCTCTGTGTGGTACAAAACGGAACCAGCACAATGCCAAGCATTTAGATGGGGGGTCCTAGCCTTACCATCTACCCAACTAAGTTGCTTGCGCTCAAGCGATCTGGAGGCAAGCAAAGGCCAAAAGATCCCAGCGAATGTGAAGGTACCCACACTCAATCACACACACACACACAACTTATATTACAGCTTGTTGACTCTTCTCATGTCAAATGCGGCATTCCGACCAAAATGACTCAATCACGCAAGAAACCACAAATACTGTGTGCGTCGTGGCTGTGCTTGGGTGCATCCAGGATTTTCGTGCTCCGATACAGCACCGAAAGCTTCTGCACTGTATCAAGCCATGGGCACTGGTAAGCGCAACCGAGAGGGGTTGCGACCCTTACAATTGTAGCTTGCGCGTGGTCTCCCTCTAATCACTAACCAGTAAGGCTTTCGGAAAAAACGTGAATAACCGGACTCCAAACCCTGAGTTTTTGTGTTGCCCAACATTCAAAACATTGAGAACCCCGATTCCTTCGACAAATCGAGCGCAACCAAGCAACCCCGCATCTTGTCTTATATCTTCACCCCCATGGATCGTTTTTCGTTGGGTTTTTGAACCAACCCGAAAGGGCACCACATGGGTATGGGTCACAATTAGACCACCAGGAATTGGACCGCAGGTTTTGGACCATGTTTCCATTTACCAGGCCATTTGATGCCATTTTGGGGTTGCCCTATTTTTGACATAGCCACCTCCACCCCGAAAAACCCGAAAAAATCGACTCCACCCGCCTGGCGCGAGTCTCCTTCCACCCAGACCTGGAAGCTCTCGAAGCCTTCTGGGCCCAGCCTCGGAAGGGAAGGTGCCCGCCCCGTCAAAACATGGGGCCACCATGTTGATTGGGTTGCGACCTCATATTTTCAAATGCCGAAACTCCAGGTCCTCAAGCCTGAGGTGGTTGTTGTGACTGGGGATGTGACCCTTTGCAGTTTTTGTGGCCAAAGCATCATGAACAAGCATTACTATTCAGGGTAAAATGGGAGATACAACCACTACAACCCCGTGTCGTGGTTGGATAAAATGTTGATAAAACACCATGCGAGACCCCACATGAACTTGAAGCCTTGGTTGCCTTGACTTAAGGTGCCAACAACTACAACCACAACTGCAGCACACACACACACACACAACATATAAATAATCGATTAATACACGAACACAAACAAACACGCCCACAGGGCCCACACCCGCAAGCACACACACACACACAGAGAGACATACAGACACACAAACGCATACACACACACAGACACAGACACAGACACCAAAACACATGGGCACACACAGACATACACAAAGACACGCGCAGACACAGCGTCACACAGTCACACAAAGACACACACACACACACACAGCACGCACGAATGCACGCACGCACCAGCCCACCCCATCACTTGAGGGGAATACCGCCCCACTTACACAAAAAGGCGCTTTCTACAACCGCTTCGCCGAGCCGCGTCACGGTGCCGGTGAAGCACCCATCCGAGCCACGACTCATGGGCTGTGGCTGCCAGTTGTTCCAGGAACCCGCCAGGTAGTAGCCTGAATGCTACAGGGGAAAAATGGAAAAGGCAAAAAAAAAGAAGAAAGCAAGTTGACAAAGACATACAGCAAAAGAAGAAACAGCTGCCCAAGCAAGTTTCATCCCAGACCAATCCGCCAATCCGATCTCTCGCTCCAAGAAGCTGGTGACCTCTTCAGTTTTCTCTGCATCAGCCGGCCAGTAGGCGAAGGATCGCCTTCGAAAGGGAAAAAGCGTCTCTTGCGTCGAGGCCTCGCTGAAGACGGGTAAAACGCCCTACCGTTCGTGTGAAAGAGGGCACCAGAAAGGCTCCGCCTTAGACTTCCACAACCGCTGCGCCCCTTGGTCCTATCCGAGACCTGTACCTATACCTATACCTATACTTATATTAGGGGGGGTTTAGGTACTGTCTGGGTACCATGTGCTGTCAAGTCAAGACCAAATCAAGAGACCCAAGCTTCTGGAGGCAGCCCACGCCGATCAGATGTTCCCTTGGACCAATTTGATTGTGCCGTGAGTTGTCCTCTTCTTGTCCTCGACGTGCGTCTCTTGATGCTTCGTACGACTAGAATTTGCCGCTAAAGCCGCTCTGGTGTTGCTGGGTGTGTGTTTGACACAGTCTGCCTGTGCAGTTTGCTTCTGAGCAGGAAATACCCTCTCCGGGCATGGGACATTGAGGATTTGTCCCTCTGGCTTCTTGTGGTTGAAGTTACTGGAGTCCCCCATAGACAAAGGCAGATAATTTGACCGAACCTCAGATGGAATCCCCAAGGAATGTCCCTTCAAAACAACCACAAGGTACAATAACTTATCCTAACATCAAACAACCACGCTGCAACTAAATTGCCCCCGCTAAAGGGTTTTAATAATTCAACCTAAAGATCACACCTAGATTTAGGGTGTGCATTGTTTGAGTCGGTAGCCTTTTCGTGTTTTTGAAGGGAAAACCCAATAAAACCGAAAATAGTTGGGGTTGCGTATTCTGAGACAAGCCCATGTGTCGTTTACGCTTTGCTTCCTATGTGGAAATGGGCTTGCCATGGTTCTCGGTGCGTGCCACCGCAAGCTGATGTCTCTAAGGGTTTAGGGACCTAGCCATGGTCTGAAGACACGTTAAAGATTCGACGCGCAAAAGCGGAAACACCACACTCTTCCGTCGAACCCAGGCTTGGACCAACCCATGTTCCAAATGCTTGTTGCCTCCTTAAGACTCCCAAAAGGCAGAAACAGGAAACAAACGCGCAGCTCGCACCGTACGCTGTGCCAAGTGCCCGCTACTTGTCCGTCCTGAAGGACCTTAGGACAAAAATCATGTGCCCAGCCCATCCATCCATCCATCCATCCATCCATCCATCCATCCATCCATCCATCCATCCATCCATCCATCCATCCATCCATCCATCCATCCATCCATCCATCCATCCATCCATCCATCCATCCATCCATCCATCCATCCATCCATCCATCCATCCATCCATCCATCCATCCATCCATCCATCCACCATCCATCCATCCATCCATCCATCCATCCATCCATCCATCCATCCATCCATCCATCCATCCATCCATCCATCCATCCATCCACGTGTACCAAAGCAAAGTCTAAGGGATCTCCTGCATTGTCCGTCCTTAAGGATCCTCTGGGCCGCGAAAAATCACCCGCGCAGCTTGCACCAAAAAGCTTGCTCTAACGTTTTTTTTTTCCCCCATCCTTGAACATCCTTAAAGTCAGCAGCAATAAAACTGGCCCAGCTTCTACACAAACCATGCTCTACGCTTTTTTGTTCTTCCCATCAAAAGGAAAAAAGTGGCATAGGCGATGGCGGGAGCTCAACGAATGCGACACCATCGCACCCCCACATCCCCAAAAGTTTGATTGGTGCGCTGGTTGCATTACCTTAGATCAGTACCTTTTTGACTGCAACAAAAAACCTTGGAACCAACTCGCGCAAAAACACGCCGCTGGCATCCACGCGCACGTCTTCTCCGGCCTGAAGAGTTTAGGCCTCGACACCGGGACGATGCTAGCATCAGCTGCCTTAGGATGCGGCGTTGGCTGAATCGGGCATCAAAACAGGTCCGCCAGACGGACATTGCTCAAAATGGGTGTGGGTCAAAAATTAGGCCACCACAAACCGCAGGTTTTAGACTTTTGTACCATTTACCAGGGTTCCATTTTGCGTACCTTTTTGACCCACAGCCAAATGATCCCACAAAAGTGAGAGAAAACGCCTCCAAATGGTCACTCTTTGGGGGGCCCTGCCAGTTAGCCCCAAACACAAAAATCGAAACATGCAAGCTGAAAGGGGCCCCTGCAAAATGACGTGCGTCTAACTCTTTCAGGCTTCATGTTCCTTTTTGGGGGGGCGTGTCCCTGGTCGTGTGGTCGTGTGCCCTGGAAAAAGCAACAAGCACTGGCAAGGTCTGAAAGCCGTCCCCAGTTCCGCAGGGTTTCAGCTCTGGAAACGCTCCCAAAAAGGCATTGGAGATGAATGCATCCGATGTTGCCACGGAGAGGGCACTGACCTGTCCTACAATATACAGTGAAGTGACGTGCACTCACACACACACACACAAACACATCTAGACAAGAAGGCATGAAGAACTTCCAGCCATCACTGAAGTACACACGTGGCGAACAACCCCGCCAGTCCAACCGCAACCACTCCTTTTCTCGGCTGCTTTCTGCTCCCCTGCTAAAAGTTTAACTTTCAGTGGCTTGAGGAAAAACCCATTGGTTGGCAAAAGGTTAAAGTCCTAACATCCAAGCAAAGTGCACCAAAGTTTTCTGCCGCTTGGCGGAGCCCCACCGAGGGACTCCCGACACTCCCCGCCGAGGCGCGCCCCAGCAGACCAGGTTGATGCTGGTGCCGCCCCAGCCCCGCGACCCGATGCCGTGAAACACCCGGCTGTCGCCTGAGGCGTCGAGGAGTTGCCGACCCCAACTGCTTTCATGCGCCAAATCCAGACTCCATGATTGACTTGCCCGACCGCCGAAAACCCCGGGGAAATGGCGAGCTGCAAAGCACGACGGCCGAAAAGAATGGAGGAAGCAACCCCTTGAAAGACATTCGGAGGCCACCGAAGCGGAAGAGGCACGCGTCAAAATATGGGGGACCATACAAAATTGTGGTGGTCTTTTTTGGGCTCCCTGTTAGACCGACCCCGCAGCGGGTAGACTCAAACGACGCACACAAACGCCGAATGCGCCCGAGAATGTCTTGAATCTCGCTGACAGGGCTTCGCGGCTCGCTTCGAGGGCCAGAGGTCTTCCGAAACTCTGTCAGATAAGGGGCGGTAGGGCATTGACTCGGTGTTGATGCAATGCGCCGCATCTCCAGCCTCAGTCGTTGCAACTTGGAATGCCAGACATCCGCAAGTCGATATGCCCAGACCTCGAAGTAGGGGTTCAACTGCTTCAAGTGGATGGCGGGCGGATTGTTGGCATATCTCATGTTCAGCATCACCTGCAGGGCTTTTGCGGACCTGCTCAGTTGCTGAGTGGATGGGTCCGAGACATATCCAGACCCGGGCTTCCCTCGAAGCTTCTAGTTGGCGAAGAGTTGGCGCAGACGCGCCAAGCCCCGAGCCTTCAGGAAGCCTGACATGAAGCAAGCCTCTCGCTGCACCCCGGTATTAGCTTTGCAGGACCCGAAGATCAGCATCTCCTGGCGTACATCTCTTGACTCCAACGCAAGCGCAGCGGGCAAAGTGGCTCTCAGTTCCTCGAACGGACACATGATACCGAGCAGACTTGCCAGACTTCGTCTCACAGACACGGCCAGCTGTAGTCGTTGAATCTCTTGAGCTGCTTTCTTCGTGCATGGTTTGATTCTAGGCTACTACCCTGGGCCCTTGATCTCATCCACGAAGACCTTTTTTTTTTTGCCAAAGGCTGCCTGGTGTGCCGGCGAGCACATTGAGTACCTTCCAACCAGTTCCGTTATACACCAAGCTCGGCATCGCGCAATGCAAAGGATTTCGACGAGGGGACCAAATTCTGTACTAAATTCAAATCCATAAGGAAGTTGGGTGGTGCCCTATTGGCGTTCAGTGTTCAGGTATCAATTTTGATGGTACCCTATTGGTTTTGCTGGCGTTTGCTGATTTTGCCAACGCCAAGGCGCCTGATTTGTGGACTTCAATGGTCTGTCTGTCCTTCCTTCGCAGGATTGATGCTGCTTTAAAGGCTTGATCCGCCTTCACCACATTCACCCTTCTTTGCTGACTTGATCTTCCTTTCCAATTTCAATCTTCTTTGCTAAATTACCCCTCATGTTCAAACTTGAAAGTCTCTGTTTAGGTTGATCACCCGCATAGAAGAAAAATGAATATAAAAAGGAATAAGAAAAAGGAAGAAGATGAAAGGAAGAAGATGAAAGGAAGAAGATGAAAGGAAGAAGATGAAAGGAAGAAGAAGAAATAGGAAGAAGTACAAAAAAGAAGCAAACAGGAAGAAGGGAAACAAGAAGGAAAAAGAAGGAAAAAGAAGGAAAAATAAGGAAACAGCAGGAAAAAGAAGGAAAAAGAAGGACAGGAACAAAGAAATGAAAAGAAGGAGACATGCTAAGTAAAGGAAGGTTGAGAGAGTCAATGAAGCGAGAGAAGACCAAACAAAATGAGCTTGCACTTTTTCATCTACACAATTGTTCTTCGTCCTGAACCTGATATTCCGTGTTGAAAGTCATGTTCCTTTAAAGAGTTGATCTCTTCTTTTACCAAAATGGCTCCTTCTTTATAAAGCGTTTTCTTTCTTGCCTTTTCCCTTCTAGTTTTCCTTGCTTGCCACCCCGCGCCGCGCAGCGTGTTTGGTGGAATTCTCCCATCCCCACCCCTCCCCCCCCCACCAGCCGACATGAACCAAACCACACACACACACGGAAAGAAAAATAACGAAGGCCGTGACGCGTTTCTGTTGGGTAATGGCCCCATTTTTTATGGGTCATGGAGACAGACAGACAGACAGACAGACAGACAGACAGACAGACAGACAGACAGACAGACAGACAGACAGACAGACAGACAGACAGACAGACAGACAGACAGACAGACAGACAGACAGACAGACAGACAGACAGACAGACAGACAGACAGACAGACAGACAGACAGACAGACAGACAGACAGACAGACAGACAGACAGACAGACAGACAGACAGACAGACAGACAGACAGACAGACAGACAGACAGACAGACAGACAGACAGACAGACAGACAGACAGACAGAGAGGAGTCAGACAGACACAGACAGACACACGCTGGGCTCCTTGTCCCCGCCCTCACATCTCCGCAGCACCGCCACACATGCGCTGAGCTCCACAGCATCGCTCAGGCGGGAGCCTTCCGCGTGGCATTCCATGCCATCCACGTCCTGAGGCAGTTCCGATCCCACACACTTCGTCGCGGAAACCAAAAAGGCGTCACCAAACAAGGGGCCCCTCGAGAAACAAAGAAGGAAACCTCCCAGACTCGAATGAGAAACACCCAGCTCTCAAAATAGCGCAATCAATTCTTGAAGCTTCCGGCTTCCCTTGAAATCCTCCTGCTTCTTTCTTTTGGCTTTGGACCTTGGTTTCCCTTTCCGGTTAAACCGCATCCGATTTTCACGGCGAAAGGTTCCAGCGGGCTCAAGCCAGCCATTCGGAAGGACTCTGCGATGACCTCCTGTTCCATGGGGCCGCTGGGAGCCGCAAGGCCTGCGCACCCCGTTCGGCCCAGACCGGGCGGGCAGGGGGGCGACCAAAGAGCAACCCTCCACAAGAAATGGCATGTCTGTGCGGTTCCCCGCAGCACGTGGTTTTCTATTGCAATGAACAGGGCAGTCAACTGCTATGTTGCCCTTGTTCCCCTGCTTGCAATGTTTAGGGCATGCCACCTTACCCCATTCGGGGCAATGAATGGACACCCTGGGTGTTTTTGCAGAAAAATCGAGGGCACCGGTGCATACAAAGTTACAACCCGACTGACCTCGGACACCTCATGCAAAATCGCAACTTCAGCATGGCTCCAGCAAACATTTCCCCTCACATCACTCACCAAAACTCACCTTGAACTTGCCCAGAAAGTGTTGTTTGAAACCAAACCACCAAAAGGGGAATGTGTCAAAACCTGGTATATACTGGAGGCGTCTGCCTAAAACCATGTAAAGAAGGGCGAAAATATACCCCTGGCACCTACCTTCATGTACCCGACTCGGTTTTGTGGCTCAAAGGGAAGCCTTCCATGGGGCCCACAAAACCCACGGCAGACGGATGGCTTCCCTTGGAAACAGGGTTGTGGGATCGGGGGGTTTCTCCCCACTTCTGTGATACAAGGGAATCTCCCCCTTTCTGTGGGAAGGTAGTCTTTGCGACGCCTTTTTGTTGTATCACAGAAGTGGTCATTTCCCACAGCCCTGCTTGGAAAGAACCTTCAGTTTCCATGGCTTGCGGGGCGCGGCCTGCGTTCCTGCCATTGTTCACAATGTGCCAGCCCACCATGTTGCCGACGGAGGGCTCGTTCGCCACTACCAGCTCTTGCTCCACCTTTTCACGCCCGTGCAACCGTGAGCAAAGTCCATGTGCATCGCGAGTGGATTTTGCTTCATTGCTTGTCTGTCTATTAATAGGGGCGGCAGTTTCAACACAGTGAGCAACTTTCGCTTGGAGAACTGATGCATCCTTGCTTCTCTCCCTCTCTCTCTCTCTCTCTCTCTCTCTCTCTTGCTCTCTCTCTCTCTCTCTCTCTCTCTCTCGCTCTCTCCGTTCTCTCTGTCTTTCTCTCTGTCTAGTCTTGTGCGCTGCTTTCTGTTGTTTCTTGCGAAAGCACTGCGCCTGCCGCAAAATCTGCACTGGACCTTGCGAAAGCGCTCTGCCTGCCACGCAACCTGCGCCCGAAAGCGCTGCGCTTGCCACGAAACCTGCACCTGACCTTGCGAAAGTGCTGCGCCTGCCACGCACTTCAAACCTTGCGAGGCCTTCGCGCTGCCATACCAATGGTCCCATCTCGTTCCAAGACCGTTCCGAACGCGCTCCAACTTGCATGACGCTTGACGCTGCGAAAGCGCTGCGCCTGCCACGAAACCTGCGCGTGACCTCGCGAAAGTGTTGCGCCTGCCACGCAATCTGCACCCGACCTTGCGCAAGTGCTGCGTCTGCCACGAAATCTTGCCCGACCTTGCGAAAGCGCTGCGCCTGCCCGCGCAACTCAAGCCTGGCGAAACCTTCGCGCAGCCGTGCCAATGGTCCCATCTCCAAGATGTGTTCCAAGACCGTTCCAAGCCCTGTTCCAAGACCGTTTGCGCCCGCCACTCAATCTGCACCTGACCTTGCGAAAGTGATCCCCTGCAACGAAATCCGTTCCTCGTGGAATTTGGGCGGTTTCAAGAGTGAATTTGACCGGTTTCTGTGGAAGTTGACCGCTTTCTGTCGCGAATTTGACCAGGAGGTTGACCGGTTTTAGAGGGGTCTGATGAGCTTATGGAAAAAAGTTTGACCAGCTTGCAATTTGCAGATGGGACCATTGGCACGGCCACGCGGAGGTTTTGCAAGGCTTGACTTGCGTGGCAGGAATTTGCGCTTGGTGCTCCTCAGCGGGCCCTCAGCCTTCGCTTGGGCCCCAGTCCACTGATGACTGCGGCTCCCGTTCTAGCCCTTGCAGCCATGCGGAAAAGCGCGAAAATGCACGCACCCTCTTTCTTGAAAACCAGCTCACGCCTTTCGGCACCGACTCACTCAGTCAAACTCACACAACACTTCAAGGAAAAGCAAAAAACAATACCTCAAAGCCAGCCAAACGCATACTGGTCGAGGCGGGCAGCGCAAAGCGTTTACAAAATGTGTCTCGCGCTCTCAGAGCCTCCCTCTCTCTCTCTCTCTCTCGCGTCTCTGTCTCTGTCTCTGTCTCCATGTCTGTCTGCGTCCGTTTGTTTCTGTCTGTCTCTGTCTGTCCCTGTCTGTTTATGTGTGCGTGTCTGTGTCTGTTTGTGTGTGCGCGTGTGTCTGTATGTGTCTGTCTCTTTGCGTTTGTGTGTTTGTGTGTTTGTGTGTGCGTGACTGTGTGTCTGTGTGTCTGTGTGTTTGTGTCTGTCTATGGCTGTCTCACTCTCTCTTGTCCTCTCTCTCTCCCTCTCCGTCTCTGCCTGCCTGCCTGCCTGCCTGCCTGCCTGCCTGCCTGCCTGCCTGCCTGCCTGCCTGCCTGCCTGCCTGCCTGCCTGCCTGCCTGCCTTCCTGCCTGTCTGCCTATTATGAGCATCTTTTTTCCGAGGGCGATCTTCTAGGGGTGGTGTTCAAAGGGAACTGAGGAAAAACCCACAGTTCTGGACTGTCCCTATTACCTGCAAAAACAAGCACGGGACGGGAAGAACGCTGTGGCTTCTAGTTGGCTGGCTGAAAAAATAGGTTGTTTACATTTTACATCGATTTGGGTGTTTGCCCCAAAAAGGCAAACCCTGCGGGTTGGGGTCCTCTCGGCTTAACGCCAACTTCTAAAAGCACGGCCCGATTTGAGGATCGCTTGAAGCATGGCAACTGGATCTCCGGCAACGCCTTCTCCGCATAAGGCTTCAGAACCACCGTGAGGCAGCCCTCGCCCACCACGTAGCCATTGGCCTGCTGGTCAAAGCTGAAGGCTCGGCCTGGCTGTGGGGAGCCAATCATATGGGGCTTGATCAACATTCCATGTAGGGCCCCCAAATGAACACTCATTTGGCCATGGGTCAAAATCCCGTGTACCCCCAGTGAACATCCCAAGCCCCACTAAAACAGACTAAAATGGGTGGTGCACCTACCCCAAAATGGTACCATTGGTTTTGACCCACAGCCATATGGGGATCCAATATTCCATGTAGGGCCCCCAAATGAACACTCATTTGGCCATGGGTCAAAATCCCGGTCCCCGCAGTGAACATCCAAGCCCCACTAAAATAGACTAAAATTGGTGGTGCACCTACCCCCAAATGGTACCATTGGTTTTGACCCACAGCCATATGGGGATTGATCAATATTCCATGTAGGGCCCCCAAATGAACACTCATTTGGCCATGGGTCAAAATCCCGTACCCCCAGTGAACATCCCAAGCCCCGCTAAAATTGACTAAAATGGGTGGTGCACCTACCCCCAAATGATACCATTCATTGGTTTTGACCCACAGCCATATGGGGAGTGATCAATATTCCATGTAGGGCCCCCAAATGAACACTCATTTGGCCATGGGTCAAAATCCCGTACCTGAGTGAACATCCCAAGCCCCGCTAAAATAGACTAAAATGGGTTGTGCACCTACCCCCAAATGGTACCATTGGTTTTGACCCACAGCCATATGGGGATTGATCAATATTCCATGAAGGAACTGGTCCCATCTCGGAACCTGAAGAATGATGAAAGAACGTGTCATGGCCGAAACGGCTTTCCACTTCGCACTTCAACTCGTACATATTTCTCTGGCCTGCGGGGTTCATGAAGGCATTCCATCGGGGCCACATGACAGGAGTCAAGCAGAAGTAGACCCCGCTGATCAGAGCCGCCGTGCTGGTGCCTCGGAGAAGACAATCACAAAGCGGGTCCTTTGTCGCCTTTATCCCAGGATCCTCCAACACACCATTTTAGGGTATGGGAAACTTCCAGGGCTCACATGTGAGTGGCTATGGTGTTGATAACCTTTACTTAGTTGTCTGAAACCCCTTGTATATGACGACCAGACCAACCCCCCCAAAAAAAGAAAAAAATGATCGCACACCTGCCGCCTTCAAACAGCACCAAGGAAACTGAATCCATCCGAATGTTCACATCACACACAAAGGGAAATATAGGGAACTCTGCCAAACCCTGTGAGTTGGGAGTCGCTTTAGCATCAAGGACATGCATGAAATTGTGGCGGTTCTCGCTGCAACTCCCGGCAAGCAGTGAAACGAACGGCCCGAAACTCACCACAATTATCTGGGCTGCATAGTTCCCAACAAAAAAAGACTGTTTGATGCCTACCTAAAGTATCCAGTGTATAAAATGATGATGATCCCTATGAGCCCCAAGCAAAAATAAAGTTATTTGGCACACATGAAGCCCAAAAGGAGAACCACCTCCTGTTCAAAAGCACAGCTTTGAGTTCGCTCTCCTGCAACATGGTTTGTTGCAAGGCTAGCCAAGTGTTGGACTGTGCAGCATGAGCAACAGGCTCATGTGTTGTTGCTCACATTAGCATGATGTTGAAGGGAAACCAGCCCGAATCACAAAGGCCCTCTGGATGAAAACGATGCAGAAACTATCGGGCGCTGTAGGAGCATGATGACGGAAGCAAACTTGAGATCAACACTGCAATGGCAAGCCAAAGGTTGCGTGATAGCAGAGCACAAGCCACCTCTTATGTTATCTATCATCTAATCATTAGTGAAACAGTGTGAGTGGTAACGTTCCTGGATATGAGCCTGTCCACCGTTCGGACGAAAAAAGAAGGACAAAAAACACGCTCCAACCACAAGCACCCGCCGGAGCGGTGACCAAAGCCCCTAATCGTCCGCCAGGATGCCCCCGGATTGGTTGCGACGGATGTTCTGGTTGGAGACGGCCTCAGCACAATGGCCTCACCTTCTGAAGAGCCATGGGGTGACACTGGGACAACCAAGCTAGATTCTAAGTCCTCTAGTAGAGAGGTTAGAATAAGGGTACCGACTTTTTTCTGTAGTCTATTTTAGTAGGGGAACCCTCCCCAGAAAAAAAGGGTAAAAGGGCACTACGGGGGGAGCTAGGATTTGTTGGCAGCAACAGGCCTTGGAACCCTGGATTTCTCCCAATGTGTTGTTCATCAACTTGGAAACTCCAGTATGAAGCAAGCTTTCTCTTGGCGCGGTGACGTTGAAAGGAGAGATATGGCTCTCTGCAGACCAACCCAGCTGCTGGTCGGAAACTGTTGGATACTGATTGCAAAGCAAAAAAGATCTTGCAAAAACCACCTAAACACACACACACACACACACAAGTGGGTAGCCCACAAATGGGTAGCCCACAAATGGGTAGCCCACAAATGGGTACGCTCTTGCCTTCAACCATGGTGGAAGTGGACAAGGGGCTTCCCCAAAATCTTCCTAATTACTAGCTTCCATGGCTGTAAGGGAGGGTACCAGGTAGCCTGGGGAGCCAGGGCTTCCCTGGTACAAGACCCAGGGGTGTCAAGTCCCAAGACCACTCCGATCCACGGCTCGCCCAAACCTCCGGAAGCTTCGGCCACAAAGTCTCTCGCCGAGGCGCGGAGTTCCCCAGGGTCATGGCCATGGCTGCGGAGCTGAGGTCGCAGTCGATGGAGGTGGAGGGGCCCATCAAGCCGAGCCTCGATCGGTTGGTCGGTCGGTCGGTCGGTCGGTGGGTGGGTGGGTGGGTTGGTGGGTGGGTGGGTTGGTGGGTGGGTGGGTGTGGCTGGCTGGGTGGGTGGAACTCCATGGCTTTTCTTTTGGCTTCAACCGAAACAGGGAACACACCCAAATGCAAGAATTCCCCATACTTATGTGCATCAACCAAAGCTGCAACACAAGCCCCAGGATGCCCGAAGAAACTGCCAACCAACAAACACACAGTAGTGCTGTTTCACACCTCGTTCATAGATACCATGCTTGGTTTTGTGGCACCGTTATAGAGGTTCACAGGCAATCCTTTGCAAGTCCTCAATGACATGTTTTGAAGGGTGGGTGCACATAGCAGCAAACTGCCCGCCAACCGAGGCTATGTGATATTACACGAGAACATTTATGGCTGCTCCAAGTTCCAGCCTTATAGGGTATGTAGGCTGGTGTTTCCAAGAATTGGGAGGGGGGCTGCGGTTCTGCCTGTGCCTATGAAATGCATTCAAAAAGAATTTGTCGAATGTGTTTCGGAATCAAACATGTCTCCATAACGTCGAGTATTCAGCACATGCTGAAAGCCCCCCGACGGAGCACGACTCCATGCTGCCAAGGCTCTGGAAAGAGACTCGATTCGAAGTAATTGCCTCGCGATGGCTTGCTTCTCTCCAAACTCGCAGGACGCCCCTTGAAATGTTCCACAGAAGGAAAGCTGGGGACGAGCAGGACATTTGGCACCCGAGGCTGTGGAACCCTCTGGTTTGGTGCGACAGGGCCCATGGTACGAAATCCTCCTGCCCCGCCAAAGGTGACAAGGGAAACCACCGGGCCCCGACCCAAAAGTACTTTCTTCGAAGGCTCGAAGAAAGGAATGCAAGGAGAAAAGAGACCACAGAACCAACCTCAAGCCAAGTTTACAGGTGTGGTTCTCTGCAAACACAAGAGGATCGCGAGCTATGCTGTGTGAATCCACAAAGGCTTCCGCGCTTTTGTCTCAAAATGGGATGTTTCCTTACACAACCCTTGTTCATCATAGGGTTCCCTTTGCTTCTCCGAAACCAGCTTGGGTGCAATGAGCTTGTCCAGTGAATAAGACTCATGGACGCTCAGGACCCCTCAGAAGCCCAAAAAGGAGGGCGCCCCCACTTGCAATTTGAAGCTCTATGTCTTCCTCAAAAAAACAAACAGTTTCCCTCAACCTATGCTTCCTCTGTGAGTGTGGCAGAATACGCTTCCATTTAATGAACAAAAAACAAGGTGAGAGGGGTACCCTTACAAAAGAAGACACCCATTCACCCACACACAGACTGCCGAAAACCCCTCGGTCCGGGCAACGCATCCGGAACGCGCCAAATTTCTGTCGCCCGCTCCTGGGAGGCGCCTGCCCCGGAGAGGGCGCCCATATCGTGGGGCACATACCTCTCGCAGCGTGGACCCCCTAGGCAAAACCCTAGCACCTAGGGAAAAAAGCCTGAAGCAGGATTTTCAAGCAACTGCGGTTTCAGAATGAGCACGTACATGAGGATGGCGTTTTTTTTGCAATTGCGGTCTCAAACATGCTCAAACAGGCAGCTACGCTCCGACTGTAGGCTCTACATGGATAGTATGGTTCATGTGGGCCTTTTTTTCATCCCTACCAAGCCAAGCAAAACCACCAATCAAAACGGAAAGCAGGGTTTTGGGCGCTGCTTCAATGGGTGTGGCTCCTTTTCTTGACGGAAACCCCCCGTTGCGGGCGGTTTAATGGAAATCCAAAGGGAAATTAAGACACCCAAAGGCCCGCCCCCAAGTCTTCAAAACGTCGGTCGCGCCCAACCACCATGCGATTCCCTTGGATTCTGCCAAGGCGGGCAATACAAATCAAAACCGCACCTGGGCCTGACGAATGAAGATTGTCTGAGCTGCCAGAGCATGCGCTCTGGAGCCAATAATCAGCTTGATCTATCCAAGGATGGTGCCCAAAGACCGCCGAGCATCAATTCACAGAAACCACCAGCATGCCACTCTCGGCGACTCTTTGCGACTCGATCCCGAGACAAAACACCGGCACCTAAGGCGCCGGCGCGTACTCCGGATTGGTGCACCCTGTGAAGACCGCGATGTACGATCGCAGGAGCTGAGGCTTTCGGTAGCCTGGCGATGAAGGGCTGACGTCCGGTGCCAGGCGGAAGCAAAAAAAGAGAGGGAAAAGGCGAAAGGCAAAAGCTCAGTGGAGAATCTGAATCTCCAAATGGAGCAGAGAGGATCAGAAGGCAATCCAAATGGAGCAAAACAAGTGTTGGAATGGTTTGTATTGACCATTGACGCGTGACCTCACAGCTTGCCCTTCGAGGCGTCTTCCAGCGTTGGTGGCTCAACATCCGGCTGCAAGGTATCTGAAAACCAGTGAGGTATGCAAAGATAACACATGTGCGCGGACAAATCTCCTTACGGCCATGATCCTGGTTCCCTTATACAATAGGAATCCTTTGGGATCCCTTCACGATGACACAAAGAACTTGCTTGTTCTTGGGAATACTGGAATAAAGCTCCCGACCATTCCCTACAAGAACCCAATACTTGGTACAAGAGGTTGTCAAAATTAGGGGCCCTTGTCGGTAGCCCATCCAAGTTGAACCTGCCAAAATGCTTGACCCTACCTAGCGATCTCCAGCTCCTGGTGAGCAAAGAGGGATGTCTAACCAAAACAAAGACATGACATGCACGTGTCGTTTTTGCAGGACCCCCAAATATTGTGGTTGTCCTTTTAGTTTCCCTTTGAAACCAACCCAAAAGGGGTTCCCCTGAAAAAAGACAGACCCGCATGTGTACTGAGCCCCAAGAGGTCCGATCAAGTGGCACCCTGAAAATTGCCCTGGTTGAAAGAGAGGAGTCTCCCTTGGAGGGCCGTGGCTCCTAGAAGCAAGCAAGGCTCAAGGCTTCGAGTGATGTTAACCCCTTCTTGTTCACCCCTGGTTCCCTGGTTCATTAACAGGGGGGTGTCCCCTTGTGGGAATCCAGATCTCACGGCTGTGTGGGCCCCAACCCCCCCCCCCCTGTTCTGAGGATAGGTTGATCGATCCGGGGTTCCCACTCCATTTCGTCCAGCACCACCGGTGACTCCTCCCGGTGTTTCCCCCCGACGCTCGGTGAACCGCGCCACCCGGTCACCCCCCGCCTGCGCCGTGGAGAGCCTCATAGCTGGTCTCCAGCACGTGCCGCTGCATGGGGTCCATGCCCAGGGCCTGGCGTCTTCCGAGGCATCCGAGGCTTCGGTGGAATTTCGACACCACGGGAGTAGTCGATTTTAGTAGGGGAACCCTCCCCCAAAAAAGAAACGGCAAAAGGGCACCTAGCTGGGGGACCTAAAAGATAAGTAGTATCTTTCGCCTCAAAACACCACTCCACTTGAGTCATAATCAAAACCCGGTATTTAAATGGTCGTAATCCCAGAACCTTGTAAAGGATTAAATTTCGGCGGCCGCAGGTATTTGTGGTTGGGCTTGGCCCTTACTATCCTTCATCTACCTGAGTTTTGATTGTAGCTCACGGGGTGCTCAGCTTCCTTCCAATTGGCGGTTTGGATTGGGTGGTTGAGGATGGGTTTCTTGGCAAAAGCTGAGGCAGGTTTGGGTTCTTGTAGGGATTGGCTCGGGTTTGTAGGGCTAGGAAGCTGTTTCTTTCCACCTGGCTTTGGTGGGTTGGATTGGGTGGTTGAGGACGGGTTGCCGATGTTGACCCTCCACATGAACCAGGGGTTCAAATCCCCAAACCACCAATCCAAACCACGAATTAAGGGTTGCCCGGCCACGGGGTTTTGCTCTTAATCAGGGCTGTGGTTGAAATGGAATCGACTTCTGATACAACAAAAGGGCTTCCCAAAAGACTACAGTAACCCATATGAAGGGGGAGATTCCCGAAGATATCACACCCGTTTCTTACAGAAGACAAACCAAAAACAACCCATAAAGAAAAAATGGGAGCCCCATGTGGCCCTCAAAACAGGGAAAAAGATTGGCTGGTTCCTTGGGCAAAGCCAGGTTTGTCTCTAAACAGGGATCCTTACATTATACACCTGAACATTGCCTTGGAAATTGTGATTTCCTTTTATTTTGGTGGAAAAAGCTGTGTTTCAAATGGTTGCAAAATGTATCTGTTAAGGAGCCCTGCTAAAGGGAAAAGCTTCCTCGAAACAAGGGCTTCCATTGGAGAGACATACTGTTGCCCGTTGCCCCGCCAGGTTGGGAGACTGTTTCTGGCAGCTCTAAGCGCAGAAACATGCGCCGAAACTCACTGGCCCATGATGCATGTCAAAACTGCGAATTCGCCGGGCGGCGAATTCGAAAAAGTGGCTTGAAAAGAAATGGCCTTCTTTGAGGTCACGCGCCTGCCAGCGTTTTTGAGCTCAAAGCAGGACATGTTGATCTGGGCATAAGCAGGGTTCTACGTGTGTAGTGTGTTGATCCAGTGTTTTTGAAGGAATCCTACAAACTATTGGTGGCGCTGTGCGTACATCTTTGCAAGTAAATGGACAAACAAGGATACTTCTTTGCAGGGGTCTTTTTTGACAAATGACCGCAGGGCGTTAAGGCAGGGGTCATTATTTTGACTGTTTCTGGCAGTTATCAAAGTCAGAAAACGGGTTGTTGTTTCCCTTTAACCCACCACTTAGGGGGTGTCTTTGATCATGGTAGAATAGGGAGGCCAGTGCCGTCCAACCAGCGGACCAACGCATGAGCGTATCAGCAGATCATAGAACCAGCGGACTGGGAGGTTTCATCCAGTGGATCAGAAAAAAAATGAAAAAAAGAAAGAAAAAAAAGGAGAAAAAAAAAGAAAAAAAGAAAAAAACACGCAAGGGGCGTAGATGAGCATGCAGGTCCACCGGTCGTCACTAAAGCGGCAGGTTAGTTGAATTAAATCTGCCACGAACCAAGATGGACACGTCTTGTCCCTCTGCTCCGGCTATGGTCTATACAAGGGACTGGATGTTATCCGTTTTCTTGCCAGGCTCTTGTTGGTTGCCATTGTGTTCTGAAGCTTGTGAGGTTGGCACCTTGTTCCAGTCACTCGATGCACGTCGGCTTTGCTGCGCTGCCTTGTTTCTCGCCGGTCGGGAGCGGATCTTGGTGGCTGCTTGCGCTTACTTGTGGCACGTGTGCCGGGTGCGAGCGAGCAAGACGTGCTTGCAGGTCGGGCGAGCGCCTGGCTCGCTGCAGCCAAATCTTTTTGGGATGCAAAGGCGACGCGAAGGCGACGGAGATTGGCCTCCATATTCGAGATGCCGAAGAACTTGTTGTCAAAGAGCTCAGACCCTGGTCAGAAGTTCGGAGATTGCAACAGACCCAAAGCTCCCGAGGCCCAGTGCTTTCCCTACTGAAATCACTCCAAGGCAACAGTATGCCAGAGAACTGATCTCGAATCGAATTGCAAAACACAATTTGGCAAGACCAATCTAGCAACGGCACAGATTGCAAAGATGCAGAATACAAGATGTTATGTATCCCAGATCAGCATGATGTAGCCTCTGAAAGCCGTCTCTTCTCAAATTCACTGCACTGCACACCAGCCATACGGAGCTCCAAACATGAAAGTTCAGGGCTTGTCGGACAGCATGGCATCTAGACACGTGGTGTGTATTTTGTTGGAGTTGCTCCCCCTTTGACACTCACCACCAATCCAAACCACAAAGTAAAGAGACCACAAAGAAGAAGGAAAGAAAACGTCTAGAGGAGGCCTTCGTTTTAAAGCAGCAAGGACCATAGGCAGAAACCCATCACTTACACAAAGCGACACACCAACAAGCGCCGGCGCGCACCCTCGATGAACTGCACGTGCTTCACGCTGGTCTTCAGGATGCCGCCACCTGCCGGGGCGAAATTGGACGGGTGGACTCCGCCTGAAGCTGCGGGAGAGGGGGGGGTGGCCATGGGGCTGGCCTAGGGAATTGGGTGCCCTTTATAGGGTCGGCTCTTCAAAGGGAAACCAAATGGAAGCCGATGTATTTGTTTGCCCGCCCCCCCCCCCCCCCCCATTTTAGTTAAAAAACTTTATTGTCTTCCCGGGACTTCCAACTAAATGAGATTCCACCCTTGGTGGGGGGAATACGAAACAGGCTCACTCTAAGCACCCCAATTCAATTGGTGCCATGCCGCACTGCCGGCCAGGCCTGGAAAGGTCACGGACTCCATCCAGCAGTTGGGATCAGGGTCGTAGATCCCATCGAAGTGCCCCCAACCTCCGTCGCTCACTGCCCGACTTCGCGATGGACGGAACCCACCATTTGGGTCTGCGCGCGGCTGTCAAAATCTTGGTTCCCCAGCTAGTTCAGGGCCCTACTCTTGCCCGACTCGTGCCATGCCACAGTACAAGTTACGAGAGGTGAGTCACAATCAAAACCTGGTACAAAAATGGTGAACCCAGAACCATGTAAAGAATTAGAAAGGCGGCCGCAACTATTTATGGCTGGGATTGTCCCTTACTAACCTTCATCTACCCAGGTTTTGATTGTGGCTCAGGTGTTGAATGGCAACCTCCAGAAAATCTTCATCAGTTGCAGTGGCGCAGCCCTTTTCTACAAGCTGCCCTCTCCGAGTGTGAGAGGCATTCGGGGGCAATGCCAAGCTCGCCAACCCCATGCAAACGTCACTCGCGCATTGCCAGCGCTCTTCTCGCGCATTCACATTGCACCGCAATGTATCTCTCTCATGGTCCAACTGCAGTAGAAACGTATGCGCCTGCAAACCCCTCTGGCGGCTGGCGGATTGATCCGTTGCTTCCGAGGAATGCAAACTACCCATGTACTGGTCGGGCATATCGGTCATCTTGCAAAAGGAGCCCCTTCGCCATTGCAGCACTAAGCAGGAAAGGATGCTAGCACAAGCCTAACGCGAGATGAGCGCAAGCGCAGCGCTGCCGTTTGTTTTCTTCGATTATCCTAGGGGCCCGCCTCTTGCCAAATAGAGAAAGGAGACACTTGGCTGCGGGTCAAAAATAGGTACCCAAAATGGAACCCTGGTAAATGAAAACTTGGACTCCAGCCTGCGGTACCCTGGTGGTTTGATTTTGACCCACAAGTCATCAGGACTTGGTGCCCCAAAACTGTCCTTTTGGCTTCCCTCAAAATGCACCCCAGTAGATCTTTGCCAAAAATTGGGGAGCCCGTGGTCCCAATTGCTACTTGTCTTGCTTGTTCTCATCAGGGAATGAGAAATGGAACGACCCCTACAAACCATCCAACTGATGGTTTCCTTTGAAAAAACCCCAAACGGTTCATTCCCACCACCCGGAAGGTCATTCCAAGGGCACCAGCAAGTTCTCGCATCAGAAACGGCAGAAACGACGCTTCTAGGCCGAGGCCCTGACGGGAGAAAGGCACCTCGACGACCATGTCCGTCCCGGTAGTGACCGCCTCGGTTTCCCGGTCCCAGGAGCGCGCCCAGTTGTTCGAGCCGGGCGAGGCCCGCCTTGCGCTTTGGGCGTCACTTCCACGGATCTTTGAAAAAGCGGGTGCCTGTCATCCCATGCAAATGCTTCTGTTTCTTTTGAAGGGGGGAGCTGTTCACCAGAGATGTGCACGGGCCACGCCACTCCCTCTCTCTGAGCCAAGTGGCACTCCACCAAGTGTGGGTGTCATTCGTGAGGGCATGGTGCCCCGCTTGCCCTCGCACGGCGATGGGAATGGTATCCTGGGTCGCAAAGCCCACGAACATGTCTCCATGTCTTTGTCCCCCCTTACGTGAGCAAGCCTTACTTCTCAATCCTAAGTTGGTGAGTTTGCACGGTCAATGACAGAAATAGACTGCTACCACAGGAGCCTGGTTCTTTCTCCAAGGTCAAGGCCTGGAATCTGCCACCCCAAATACCAATTGGGTCCCTGTTTGTGGAGATGTCCTTCTTACAGGATCCATGTGGCCATCGTTCCGAGTCTTTCCTGGCCGTTCCTTTTACTCAAACGAGCCGCTTTGACTCAGTCGTTCCAAAACGAGTGTGATTCTTCCAAATGAGTCTCTCTTTTTTTGAAAGTACTATTTGTGAGGTTGACTTCTCCGGAGCAAACATTAGCAGGGTGTGTGTGTGTCAAAATAGAGGTATGTCTGTGTGTGTGTGTGTGTGTGTGTGTGTGTGTGTGTGT